ATACCCTGCTTCTTTGGGGGGGGGGGGTGAGGGAAAAGATTCCCATATAGAAGTTATCTCTATCACTGCAAAAATAAAAATAAGTCCAAAATGCTTTAAGGGAGACAAGGATGGTTTTTTGTGATACCTTTTGGAGATATTGAAGGAGGCAATTTAATTTGGATTAAATTTAATCCAAACTACTGAACCAACTGTATAGTTGGGAGGTCTAAGAAGGCTGAGGGGAGATATGATAAAGGTCTACAAAATCATGAAGGCTGTGAACCCAATGAATAGGGAACAACTGTTGTTCACCAAGTCCTACCATATTAGAACTAGGGGGCACCTGCTGAAATGAGATAGGTTTAAAATTAACAAGAGAAAGTACTTTTTTATGCAACGCATAGTGAACTTGAGAAATGTATTGCCACCATAGGTAGTAGAGCCAGATAGCATAGCCAGGGTAAAAAAAAAAAGGGACTAGGCGAATTTATGGATGGTAGATCTATTACAGCTGTTGAACAGGATGGTTGGAGATGATTCTCTGGCCTCTCTAAAGCAATAAAAATGGATGCCAGGGAGATAGGGGATAGATCTCTCAAAATCAGTGGTACTAAACCTTTTGGTCCTGCAGACCAGATGAGTTGTGTGGGGGCAGACCATGGGCTGGATTGAGCCCTGGGGATCCAGCAGTCCTCCCTTTCTGCCCCACCAAAATTAGCCCTAGGGTCTGGTGTCACCCCCACCTGGCCCAGCACACCAGAATCAGGCTCTTGATCCAGTGTTCAGGGCCCAGGGCTGCCCACATGTCTGGAAATGTAGTAGCAAGGGAGAGGTGCCTACTGATACCCCACCCCCAGATTTCCCACGCCAGGGGAAGCCCCAGGGGCCACACCTAGCCTTCAGGCCAGGGGCTGAAGCCCCTGCTCTAGACATCACCGGCTCTGTATTCCCCACAACACCCCCTCTGCCCTTGTGTCAAATTATCAGCATTACGGTTATGCTCCCTGGAGAAGGCCTTTTAGTCAAATCTCAGCACGTTCATCCCCAGGGATAAAGTGTTTGTCCAGAAAGGTGCATTTGTTGAAAGTCACTTTCTATGCTGAGGGAAACCACGGGCACAGGCCCACCAGGAAAAACTATGAGCCACCCCACCCAAGCAGGAAGGCCACTGGAGACACAGCAACTAATTCCTTGGGACAAGTCACAAGAAAACAGGGACCTGAAGGAAGCTTCCTCGGACGCCCAGGCGAGGCTGCACCTCTCTCCTGCCCGAGCACACTCCTCCTCTCCGCTCACAGCAGCCACCAGCCACACCCTGCCCCAAGTCTGGAGACAGAGCCTTCACCCAAACTTCACCCCGCGCCGCTGACGTCACGCGATGACGTTAAGGCCTGTTGTGACGCGAGAAGGCGGGCGGCAGCCCCTCGGAGGAACGAGCCCGCAGGCCACCCCACTCCGCCCCGCCCTTACCTCGCCTCACCTCCCCGCCCCTCCCCGCGCTAGAGCCTGCGCGCGGTTCCGGGACCCCTGCGAGAGCCGCTGACACAACGGGGGCGCCGCGCACCACCGCCGGGCCCCACCGGTTGCCAGGGCAACAGAACGCTGGGCGCAAAGGCTGCTGGGGGACGGGCGAACAGACGAGGCTCCTGCGCATGCGCAGCTGGCAGCCTTAGTGGTGGTGGGGGCTACTGCTGCAGCTGGAAGCCGCGAGGTGAGACCCGGCGTCTGCCCGGAAGCGCCCCGGCCTGTGCTGGAGCCCGCGCGGGGTTTTCCGGCCGGGTACAGCACGGGTCTGGCGCGCTTCGCTTCCAGCCAGGAGTTGGCGAGACCCGGTCCGGGTTGTAGTTACAGACCTCACAGCAGTCACGTGCAGGCGGCGGCTGGGGCGCGGCCATCACTTTCCAGACGGGGGCCCCACCG